ACTATTAGAGCATTTATGTCATTTATTTAAACTTTATTTTACCGGGTAAATTAACTGAAAATCAGTTCTCACTGCTTTACGTGATATTCGGGAGAAATAGCAGATTACGCATCGGAACTGCCTGAAATACAAATGTCATGCGTGTAACTAAAACTCTTCAGCCAATAAGGGCAAAGGTGTGTCGTGACGGAGGCATTTCCAGTTTGTGCATCCGGGTGAGAGGTCACAATGCATCTAACCGTAATGCATTGCGTCAGGATCAGAATGCGTTTCTTTAAGCCAGCGCTGTAAGCAACTCGAACGCACCCAATGACCGGACTGGGGAAACAAACTGAAACGCGGACTTAATACAGAGGACTAATTACAACAACCAGAAACAGCTGATCACATGGGGATCCCACACGAGGTTAACGAGGGGGTGTGGCACACGGAAAGTAATAACGCATAGCCGGTACTACTTGTATGTTTAAAATCCCTCCACGCCAACAAAGATTACCGTTTAAAAATATGGCAATAAAATGTTTCAAATTCATATTCATGTCCATGTCATTCATGTCATTTTCCTTATGTGGCAAGTAGCCGTGTAATAAGCGGGATAATGTACTGGTAGCCGGTAGTCATCGCGAAATAAGCCCCTTCAGTGTGATACAAGGCCCTCCGCTTCGCGTCGGGTCCTGATCACACTGTACCCTTACATAGTAACCATGAATATGTTCACGCGTCAGATACTTGTGCTCCATCATCAGTGTCACAGCGCAACATGGAGTACCACAGGGATCAGTGCTTGGTCCTTTATTGTTTTCTTTCTACATGCTGTCATTAGGAAATATAATGAGAAAACATAATATTAACTATCACTCCTATGCTGACGACACCCAAACATTTCAGTTACGCCTAACAACATTTATTGCCACCTTAGCTAATTGCTTTAATGAAGGCAAGACCTGGATGATTGAAAACTTTTTATCACTAAATGCTCAGAAAACCGAGGTTCTGTTGTTTGGAGGCAGGTTTGCAGATAGGAATTTTATAATCTCCGCAACTCCACTCCAAAGGGCTGATCATTTCCCTCAGTAGCTCAGCCCATAACCTAGGTGTCATCTTAGATACAAACCTCTCATTCAAATCACATGTCAGTGCATTATCGAAGGTGT